AGATGGTGGGAACGTGTGGTCAGGCAGGTTTCCTGGAGGAGAGGCAGCTGAGATGAGCGTTAAAGGGTCAGTAAAGGATGAGGCAGAGCCAGCTGCAAGGAGAGGGACCTGCGTATGCACTCAGGGCCCGACTTAGAAAGGACCCCTGCTTGGCTTAATGCTCTGATGTCATCATCTTGAAATTCTTAGTCATTTATGGCCAAGAGGCCCCACATTATCATTTTGCATTCGGCTCTACAGATTATGTGTCTAGTTCAGGAACGAGGGAATACACATGGAAAGGCACAGAGGCATCAAAGAGCATGGTAAGCTGAGGTGTGGCAGTGGGTTCAGTGTGACTGCAGGAAGGTGGGGGGGGGGCCTGACTGGGCAAAAGTCTGGTGAATAAGAGGAGAACCTAAGGTGAGGGCGGGCCACACTTACGGAGTGAGAAGAGGGCTGCACTAAGCTTCAGAGAGAATTTCCGTGTAAAGAGATAACAGAGGTAGAGACATCTGCAGAGGAGATAAAGGAAGTGTGTCCAGAGAGAAGGGAAGGAATAGGAAGTGGAGAATTGGTGAAGTGAGACAAATGAATTTGGTCTCACTTGAGAATTTGGGCTTGCCATATGGAGGATACTGAACAAGAGTGGACATAACTATAGGAGTAATAAGGAAGAAGTCAGGTTTCAGCGGTTTCGTGGCTATGCTGAAGGAAAGGAAGAGATTAGAGAGGGCAATGTTAGAATTACAGAAGAGGAAGGGAAGGGAATGATGATGGAGCAAGTTCCCAGGAAACAAGGCAGAGAGTCCTCATCCCCTTGGATCTAGATTACAGGAGGGGATCCCACTAGCATCTCCCCAGCATTAGCCCATATGTACATCTCTGACAGAGCAGCCTCATCCAAAGCCACATTCAGTGGTGACTCCTCTGTCATGGCACTAACTGGCTCCCTTGACTCTTTACGTCTCTACTTTCCTCATCTCAGCATAATTTTTATCCATCCTTCACACTGAGCCCTTCCAAAGACTCTTCCTAAATGATGAATTTTTCTCACGACTCTTATTGTAACTGTTACCCGTACTTCATAATCAACTAGGGTGAACTATCCCTAATGTACTGCATTTCTGCTGTGCCCACTAATCCCTTCTGAGAAAAAACACACCATGTTTCTTTAGTCATCCTTAAGTTCTTCTGTGTCAGGCAACCTACCATCTTTCTTGTTAACACGGTTCAGAAACTGCATCAAGGTGCCCCCGGGGAGCAAGCCAACTCGTGGGGGCACCGCAATATATTTTAAACTTTTGAAGGAAACACAGAGATACTTGACATCTGTCAAACACTGCTAAGATACTAGCTTCAATAATTAGTGGTTTCAACATAAGATCACACTATATTACTTTCAGTAATGTCACATATTTGCAAAGCAGAGGTTTGGGTGCTTGCTGTGAAAAAAGCATGTGCAATGAAAATCAATGCAGATCGAGAAATGAGGATTAAGAAATTGTGCAATGCCCAACAGGTGTACATTTTCTAGTACTGAGTAATGGTAGTTATTTAACTATCAAATAAAGCTATTATTTATCTTTCAACTTACGTGTATTATTTTTTCTAATGGCCACTAAGTTGTTAAGACATAAACACTTAATAAGTTTTTTGGACTCAGCTACTTAGTAAACGGAGCTGTGTTTATTTTGGAATAGGGTAATGCAGACAGAGACACCTAGGCAATGTGTGGATTGACCAAGCTTGAGGATCTCTGCCCTGTGTTTTTAGACTAGGGACCCAGACTGAAGCCAACTGTGGCTCTCTGGCCAACAGTACGCAGTGGATCTGCTATGAGATCACAGTCCAACAGTGGAGAGAGCTGCTGAAACCAATCAATCCCAGCAGGTCTGCTCTCCATAGGAGAGTCCACATGAAACGCACAGATGAGGACCCCGTAGTGGAATTGCCTTGGGATAGAGTGGGGTCAGAAACCATGGTGGAGAAGCAGGAGGCAGCGAGTGTTTGGACTGTAGCCCTGCCTGTAACTAACCCACCTTCAGGACTGAGCTCCAAAAAAGGAAGGAGCTGGCCATTCCACAGTGGGGCAGACCAGTCAGGGACAGGGAGAGACAGGGAAAGACTGACCCCTAGGAGCAGCCTGTGTAAGCTGCTTCATTACAGCTGCCCTTTTACTCTGTGTGTGGACAGACGATGCCCCAGGTCCAGACCATGAAAGTGTCTTCTTATGTTTCTTTATAAATCTTTACATCCTTATACTAACTCCTCCGAACACACAGATCTGCTGTAGCTAGTGTGTTCTTGACCTTTGCAGTCCTCAAGAGCCTAATTATCATATTAGCACTTCGTATGTGTTGTTTGTTCCTTTAGTTGTTTTATATGTACTTTTAACTTCCTAAATTAAAGTTTTTGTTATCAGGAGACCTATTTTTATGTAAAACTCACAATATTAGCCACATATTTTTTTATTATAAAATATGATTTAACGTATAGCAGGCTGTGTACTTTTGAACCTTATCAATTCTGCTGCATTATTTTAAACATAAGAAAAATCGTGTCACTAAAAGTAAAACAAAAAGGCCAAGATGATATATAATGAATCGCATGACCACAATTCAGCCTTAAGGCTTTGATTCCAAAGCAGTGATTCCACTGCGCCGTGGGGTTAAATGTGCCTACTGAGTTGTCGCTAATTGAGCCTTAACCTCCGTCAATGGTATCAACTAAAATCCTCTTAACTGAATGTAACATTATGTAATGTAGTGTAGAATTTAGTAAACGTGTCTTAGCCCAATAACACTCCATCTCATAAAATTAACATTTCAATTGTAATACAAATTAAAATATTAATCTTAAGAGGTATTTGCTCAGCATGGTTCCTAGAGCATTACCTGTTAAAATATGTATTGAGTCCCAGGGAGATCTACCAAGGGAAAATACCAGTTAAGTATCTTCTCTTTGCCAAACTTATCAAAATTTTTTATGATTCTCTGTTATTAAAAAATATATATATATATACACACACATATATGTTTTCATTTTGTATGTTAACAAATCTTGTCATCTAGAATTTTTTGCCAGTTTGCTTATCATCTACTCCATTATGTGTTCTTGTAGTCTGTGTATTCTTCAGAGAGGTTATTTTTCTTTAGAAACTCCATTGTCTGGTGGTGAAACGTATTATCCCCATATTGTGGGAGCCAGATATTCACCGACCCGAGATCACTCATGATTAATGACACTCAGATCTGAAGAATGTTGGCTTTGCTTATTGGGCTCTTATGCTACTTGTGTAATTCACATTGTGTGTCCTGAGGGAGGGGAAGGCAAAGGCTATATGAACATTTATGAAGACATAAATATATCTGTTCTTGTAGAACTGTTTCCATTTATGTAGACTGGTATATATTTTAGATATCCATTTAATGTCTAATCATTGCAATAGTCTGTGAAACATCTTTCTTACATAGGCAGCTACGCATATTTGTTTTCATCTTGTGACTATATTGCTTAATTCTTTAAAATGTCTCAGGGTTGTGTTGTCAGAATACTGTGCGACTCATGTAATTTAAGTCATGTGTAAGGAACACATTTTCTAACATGCACTCAAGATGGATTTGTAGTTCAGCATGAAAACACAAATATTTATCATTTTTCTTCCTCCATACTCTCTAGGTGAAAATTTTTTCTCATGGTTTTTAAATTAAAAAATTCCTTACAGCTCTGTTAAAAAATGTAATCACTAGTTCTGCATAGGGCAAATAACCATGATTTATATTATGTTACCATGGATTGGTCACATTTTCCAATTTATTGATTTAATTATTTTCATTTCTAAACAAACTGGCCTGAGATTGAAACTTGATGATAATTTAAATGTAGTACATGCTGGGTGTTCACTAAGAGGATTGTAGTTTTTTGATCAAAATATTTTATATTAATGTATGGTTTTGACACAGTTTATTTGTTTAACAAGTATTTATTGAGTACTCATCTTGTGCAAAGCCCTGCAGAAGTGTGCCCTAGAAAATGAGTAAAACCTAAACCTTACCCTCAAGAGAGATTAAAGATTCATTGTGAAAATCAGCAGATACATAAAAACATACACAAGATTGAATAATGACATGGAGACTGGGGCACAAAAGGAAAATGTTGTGTGTGATTGAGAGAAAGGGGATTCTGTGTCTACCAAGCTCTGAATTATAGCATCATTTAGACTATGGAATAAAATATATGTGTAATATAATATATATATGCATATATGTGAAATAATGTTCATATAATATTATATATGTATATTTTAGTTAAAATAAAAGTTTAAAATTATCAAAATTCTACTATTCTACCAAAAATTGGGTTAATAATTTTGTATATTTCATTCCAGCCTTTCTCCTATGAATTTAAGTTTTACATAATTGTAATTGAAGGCAAAATGTAACTGTAATTCTTTAAAAACTATCTTTGGTATAGTGTAAACATTTGCACAATGCTACATTTCTTCATAACCATCATTTTGAATGAGAGCATAACATTTTTCTTCCAGAGGATGTACTATATTTTTTCTAATTTTCTTCTACTATTATTTATTTTGGTTGTTTATAGAAGTTCACTCTTTTATATAGCTGGTTTTGAAAAACATAGTCATGCATATAGTTTTGTCCCCTCTCAGTTTAAAGGCTTTCCTTAGAAGAAGTTCCAAAAAGTGGGACAAATGTTATACAAACTATTATTGAAGTGTCACTTTTAAGCTGTGTGCTATCCTTTACATCTTTGTGTCATTGAGAACATTTTCATAACAGAAGAATTTCAAGGAAACCTACCAAAGCCAAAATATGTATTTATGCTGGTAGATTTTCAGGGCAATGGTTCAGAACTGAGGGGTTTATACTGTGACATAAATTTACTCCCTAAAGAGGGCATTGTAAGTGAGCACTATAATTTTATGAATAGATTCATCTCATCATGCAATTTTTATTATACTTCTAATATGTATAATGTTACATTTTTTCTTTGGATGTCAGCATTATTACATGAATTTAAAAGTTTTGTGCTTTGAATTTTTAGAGTGAACATTTCAGTTCGTGTATTCATCTTTTTTTAATAAAAAGCTTCTTAAAAGTTTTTCTACAGCTGAAAATAATTAAATCCTTCCATAAAATTAAAGTGTGCAAATTCATTGGTAATACAAATAATTATTCTGCAGATGACAATGCGTAGAATCTTGTCTTCTTAAATTCCAGGTGTTTCTGAGCCTTACTTTCATCAGGTTAAACTCTTCGTAATTTAGAGTCAAATTTGCAAAGATAAAGCTGGTGGTTCCTCCTTGCAAACAAGTATATAATGAACCCTTATTTAAAATTTGTACAAAGCTTTTGGCTACTAGGTAACTTTCAGGGTCACTTATATTATATTAACATCAGGGAATTCCATTCTCCGTACTTTCATCTCTGGCACAGTGACCTTGTCACCAGGTGGCTTCCTGTAGAGAGGTGAGCAGAGACACCTTCTCAGTATCATTCAAGGGCATGTTAAAGGTCTTAGAGCAAAAGTGGCCTATTTTTTCATGATGACATCAGTATGATCAAAGAATATGATTTATTTTTCTCATTAAGTACATTACCTTATGAATACTTCAATTGAGTTTCCATTAGTTGATTTGAATCATTAAATGTAAACTACAAGAAAAATTATTCTTTTAAAGCTCATTTATTTAAATTTTTAATAATCTGTCAATGCTTCCCTTCAATTTCAGATATTAACCCTTAACATTCATAAACTGAGGATGATTAGCATTTTCTTTAGAAGGGAACCACTCACACCACCGTTTAGATATTTTACTTATATAAAGTATTTTACCTAATTAAGTGCTTACTCATTAGCAATTATTCAGCTGTCTCCAAATTCTTATAAATAATGCATTAATGACAAATGTAATTATTTCAATTAAAAAATAAAACCAATTCTGACATTGGTTCCCTAGTCATTTTCTTGGTTCTAAAGTGGCTTCAAATCTCCTTCGAAAAGTTTTTTTGTGTGTATTTAATATATACATACTATCAATGACCAAAACAACCAGAAGAACATTATTTTTACTTTGTTTTTTTCTGATTGAAATATAAAGTAGATGTGGAGTTTACATGTTGGTAAATTCAGCATTTTTCTCATATTTCCCTTGTTCCTTACAGAGTATGCCCACAGTTTGGAGGTTGGTCTGCTCTGAGTTTCTTTTATTCCTTTGAAGGCATGAGGCAGGGAGAGGACATGAGTGTTTATAGTGTCACCGTAAAAGTTTTCCACTTAAATTATGCAATTGAGGATATGTGATTATAATTTCTGTCATTACCAATCTACTTACATGTCACTTTCAGCTATTTCAAATCCAGCTCCTCTTTGTTTCAGTCCCTGCTGCCCAGCCTAGCCAATCAAAAGTCCAGTGAAGGAGGCCTGGCCATGGGCTCTGTGCGCAGGACAGAACTATTTAAATAAATAGGCAAATGAATCAATGGAAAAATGAATTGATGTCCAGGAAAAGCAGATTTCAGAGCAAGGAAAATTATCAGGGATAAAGATGGGAATTACGTAATGATCAAGGAGTCAGTTCTCTAAGAAGACATAACCATCATTAACGTGTATGTGCATTTGAGAGACGTCAAAATACGTGAGGCAAAAACTGATTGAACTGCAAGAAGAAATACAGGAATCCACTCTCCTAGGTGGAGACCTCGATACCCCTCTGTCAGTGATCGGCAACTCCGGCAGCCAGCATATCAGTGAGGACATAGCTGAACTCAACACCACCATGAATCAACTGGTTCTAATCAACATTGTTAGAATACTTCATCCAGCAATAGCAGATGACATATTCTTCCAAAACTCACATGGAACATGTACCAAAATAGACCAGATACTAGACTATAAAACAGGCCTTAACAAATTAGAAGAGTATTAATTATACAAAGAATGTTCTCAGACCAATGTGGAATTAAACTAGAAAACAGTGACAAAAAGATAGCTAGAGAATACCAAAACATTTGGAGATTAAAAAACACATTTGTAAATAACACATGGGTCAAAGAAGAAATCCCAAGAGAAATTTGTAATGTTCTGAATTAAATGTAATTGAAAATACAGCTTATGAAAATATATGGGATACAGCAAAAAAGCAGAACTTAGAAGGAAATTTATGGCATTGAGTGCATACATTAGAAAAGAAGATCTAAAATTCAATAATCTAAGCTTCTACCTCAGGAAACTAGAAATAGAAGAGCAAACTAAATACAACACAAGCAGAAGAAAAATGAAGAAAAATTACAGCAGAAATAAATGCAACTGAAAACAGCTTTATTCATTTATAACAGCTTTATAATTAAACAACTGGAAGCAAATAAGATGTTCGTGAATGGGTAGTTGGATAAACAGAATGTGGTACATCTATGCAATGGAATATTATTCAGTAATAAAATAAATGAGCTATCAAGCCATGAGAAGACACAGAAAAACCTTAAATCCACATTGCTAGTCTAAGAATACAGTATGAAGATCCATATGTGGTAGGATTCCAACTATATGACAATCTGGAAAGGTGTAACCATGAAGATCGGGGGTTGTCAGGGGCTGGGGGAAGAAGGGATGAGTAGGCTAAACAGAGGCAGCTTTAGGGGAGTAAATCTATCCTGTATGATGCTATAAAGGTGGATATATGGCATTTGTCAAAACTCCTACAACTCTACGACACAAAAAGTGAACCTTAACTATTTACGGACTTTGGTCAATGAAAAAGTATCAGTATTACTTCCTCAGTTTTAGCAAAGGCACTGCATTCATACAAGATGTAATAATCAGAGACTTTGTCAGGGATGGAGGAGATTATATGGGAACTCATTTTGTTTTCCGTACAGTTTTTCTGCTAAAACTGCTCTAGAAAATAGTCTTTTTAAAATACTCATTGAACTCTACCCTTAAATGGGTGCATTTTATGCTTTTAAAATTTTACTACAAAAAAAGGTGATGTAAACACTTGAAAAAAAATGAATAATGACTGAATAAACTTTGACCAATTCTGTATAGCTCTTCTCTCAGTAATATTTTTACACTATTTCTTAATAATCACAGGCTTTTTGGTGAGGGGGGTGGGTGGGGGACAGGAATATGGAAAGGTTGATATATAGAGTTTAAAAGAAACTAGAACAAAGATGGATAGGAGCCGTACAAAAATTTTAAGTAAAAATTAGCTGCAGTTAAATAAAGAGGAAAAAACTATACACTTCACAGGACTCTAAAGGATTTGTCAGATTTTGAAATAAAATCTCAGTGTGGAAATGTAAGGAATAATTAATGCTACTAATTTAAGCAGTAACTATATCAGAAGATGCAGTTAAACATTCAGAAAATAGAAGTATATCTCAAGTGAGAAAGAACCAGGATGAACTTCTCACTGGAAGTACTTATAGGAGCAGTGAGTGCGAGTTTGGGAACAGAAGTGCTGGATTCCTTTCTCATACCACAGTTTACGAAGTAGATTTGAAAATTGTTCAAAATCTCTGAGACTCAGTTTCTTATCCATACAAGGGGGATAGTCATAGTAGTTGCTCTTAGAGACATTTGAAGATTAAATGACATATAAAACATTTGACACATCTCTTATTTTAGTACATAGTCAGTAAAATGTGTTATTATTAGTAGTAATATATTATCAGGAGTATTTCTTTTAATATGTTCCCCCACCCTTGAGATTTCAGGAAAGAAAGGATGAACCTTGTAGAAGTGGTTAGCAAGGTCTTAAGACATGTGTATCAGTAGTGATTATAATGCAATTGGCATACTAGGTTTATAACACTGAGTTTTTCTGTCAGTTGTTCCACTTGAACTTGACCAGCATGATTTTTAAGAACAATGATTTCTCACCACATTGCAGACAGTCATGATTTTTAGTTATTTATATTCAATGACACCTTAAATACTATAATATATACATTTAATTTCAGACTTATAGAAACATTTTAAGAATAGTACAAAGAATTACAAACAAACAAAAAAAGAATAGTACAAAGAATTTCCAAACACCTTTCACTCCAAGTCTCCAAATGTTAACATATTACTACAATTGCTTCATCCATTTCCCCTTCTCTCTCTACACATATGTGTGCATATTATTTTTCTGAACTGTCTAAGAGGAAGTGGCATATATGATGATCCTTCTTCCCTAAATAATTCACTATATATCACCTGAACACAAGAGATTCTTTCTCAAAACCACAGTATAGTCATCAAATTCAGGAAATTAGCATTGATACAGTAATACTACTGATACACAGACTAGTCCAGCTTTGGCTAATTGTCCCTGTAAAGTCCTTTATAAACAAATAAAATCCAAGATGATTGGTTTCATTCAGTTGTCACATCTCTTATGCATCACTTAATTTGGAAAAGTTGCCAAGTCTTTATATATTTCAATATACTGATGTTTTACAAGGATATTAGGCACTTATTTGTAACACGCCCCTCAATTTGGGTTTATCTGATGTTTTCTCGTGGTTAGATTCAATTTACGTATAGGCTTTTGGCAGGAACACCAAAGAAATGGTACTGAGTTTTGCTCAGTGCATGAATGTAAACACGTCACATAGGTTTTTCTTGTTGGATAAGATACTTTATGTAAAGAACTGGGAAAGCATTCCTTACATGTAAATATGATAGCTACTGCTTTTTTCTTCTAGGTTTTATTTCACATTTATGTAGAAATTTCATTCTTTCACATATCAGTCACAGACACATACTCTTCTATTGTATATTGCATGAGAAATTTATTTTCATATTTTATTTCAGTTGTAATGAAAGAACATGATTAGAGAGAATGAAAAAAAAAGTATGTTTCAATCCAATTATTCCATTCATCTTCCTGTTTCTCAGGACAAATGTTTCTGCTTCATTGAAGTCACAGGTTTCAAAGTGAATCTAAAACAGCTCCCACTGAATTTGCTCTGTTGGTGTTTAGACATCTTGTTTTCCTTATCTTTACTCTGGTTGATCAAGATATTTCAATACTATATTTTCAGAATGAACTGTAGTTAAAAAGCGTTTATCTTTTGGGCTTTATGTTAATTACGCAATCGCATGTAATCCCGTATTAGAATTTGCAATTTGAATATTGCTATTTAAGGTATGTTGAACTCCTTCATAATATGGATGGGCACATAAAACATGTATATTCACATTACAACAAAACTGATATACTAATTAGGTTTAAAAAATTTTATATGTTAATGATACAGATAGTAAAAAATAGTCTTACCATTTTTATAGTAGAAGCCCAATTAAGACATTTGGAGTCAATGAGAGAATCTAGAACAAATGCAAGACACATTTTCAGTGCTCAATATATATTTTTCAAATACATAAGCAAATGGAATAAACAAATAAATTACACGGTTAATCATGTTTAATTTCAATTGAGCAATAATTTTTCATGGACTGCAGCCAGGAAAATATTCCATAAGAAGAGATGTTGAGAATAGTACACATTGACATTAGCAAACTCACTAAGAACATATAATTTTAAAAACTTTTAATCTTGATTTTTTTTCTATTAGTTTATACATTCTTTTAAGGCAAGAACAACTTTTTATTCCACATTTATAGGAAAAATGTAGAAAGTATGAACTTCACATTTGTTAATAAGATTATCATAGAGGATTATTTGATAGCTGGGAACTTTACACAAAAATAAAGATTCACCATACTAGATCTAGGTATTTCAACTATGGCATTTTTTAGATTTCCATTTTTTTATTCTTTAAGAGTTTTTATCATGAGCTTCTAATACAATTACAACCTTAGTAATCTGGGCAAAGCATATCTATGTTTCTACCTCATCTATTTACATATCAATACTTAAAAACAATTTAAATGTCTCTTGTGTTATTATGCCTAGAAAACAGACACTGAAATCAAAGTGTGCCTTGTTTTTCAAGTAAAACTGACACAAGTCTTACCAAGTTCTTAATTTTCTCTGTGTGAGTTAAAAATGCCACAGCACATAAAATCATGTGAAATTTGGACATAATGGCTAATACATAATTTAATATCTTTTTCATTAGAAATCAATTTTCATTTTAAATTTCTCTTTTACTGTAAGGAAATACTATTCTCTGGCTTCCCTGGAATAGCCTGCTGGTTCTGGCCATGGATGAAATCTTGAAACTCCAATTAAAATTCAGTCACTGAATTGTGAGATTGGAGGAAAAGTCCAACATTTGCTCCTGTTTCCAGTGGCAAATTCCATCTTTAATTGTCCTGACCTTTTCTTGACTTGTGACTCAATATTCAAGTCATACACCATATTTTTAAAATGTAAATTTCTGTAGTCATCCTATTTTAAACTATCTTTATAATGAACCAAGTATGAGTTTTAAAAATCTGTACTGTGTGGAGAAAGCCACTATCATGTTTTGACAAGAAAGTAATGAAACAATTTAACTGTTCATTTTGTAGTTGATTCATTGAGAAAATCAACACACTGGCAGGCTTTCCATAGCCGATTAAATGCCACAGCACATAAAATCATGTGAAATTTGGACATAATGTCTAATACATAATTTAATATATATCATCTCCAATTCCATGCTTCATCCTGTTTGTTATGAATTGATAACGCTTGTATTTAAATGGGCTTCCTTTTTTTTTTTTTTCGGTACGTGGGCCTCTCACTGTTGTGGCTTCTCCCGTTGTGGAGCACAGGCTCCGGATGCGCAGGCTCAGCGGCCCGGCCATGGCTCACGGGCCCAGCCGCTCCGCGGCATGCGGGATCCCCCCAGACCGGGGCATGAACCCAGGTCCCCTGCATTGGCAGGCGGACCCTCAACCACTGCGCCACCAGGGAAGCCCTAAATGGTCTTCTTTTTAGAAACTCTGTTGGAATCATGAATCACAATTGAGTATTTTTCTTATCAGAGCATCAGAGTAGTTGATGGTCAGTATTGTCAATCTCCAGTCCAACTTCAGGCAAGAGTCACGTGACAGGAAGTACTATTAAAAATAGCATATTTAAGTATCTGCTTCCAAACAAGGGCAGAGCCAAATTACCGCAAAGATGGTTATGTTCTTTATGCTTTTTGTGAAAAAAGAGAAACATTTGTTAGTGTTTTGAACTAATAGTTAACATAGTTTTGAAAGATTTTTACACCAACCAATGTAATACTTTGTTGAAAATTGAGCATGTTGCTCAGTTTAGTTCTCAATAAACAAAAGGAAATAAAAAATCTGTTTCATCTGAACAATTATTTTCAATAGTAAAATCTACCAGCCTCTCCATATTGAAGCATCTTTTTGTTCCCCTCCTTTTTTTTCTGCCAGGCTTTTCCCCTCTGGCGTCCACTCAAAGTTTCTCTATATTTCTAGCATTGTCCAAAACCTAAGAGTCTTCCCCAAATATCCTCCCTTTGAATAAATGCCTCCAACCACACACTGAAGAACTATTTCGCATTGTATTACCTCAAGAACTTGGGAATCAAATGCAAGCCTCATAGCCCCTCTTAGTTTTGTCTATGGGACTAGAACTAGAAGGTACTGGAGAAAGTTGTGGTGGTCTCACACAACTCACTGTACATATTAGAGTCAAAATCCATATAGATTGGTTCTTGAACTTTACTCCACCTTTACTCCAGCTCAGGAATACGCCAGTAAAAACTCTAGTGTTCGTAATAGTCATCAGTTTACATATGGCAGGAAATTCCCAGATGCTGTTTTACAAAGGAAGCACAATTAGAGTACATTCCTTACATCATGGGCAAAACTATTTACCTAGGATTAGTTGTTGAAAACAAAGCATTTTTTGATCTTGTATAAAATAAGTGTGCTGCCTTAGAAGGATGTGGTGTTAAGCGCGATACAGATGTTAGGGGAATGAGGGCAACCACAGAGCTCAGAACACTGCAGACATTTGCACTCGTGGATAACGTCTCTGATTTGACTGGCCGCATAGCTTTTATTTATGTTTGCTCTCTTGAAATAATTTGATTTTTAGTTTTTAGATTTTCCTAATACACTTCCACTAAATTGAGACAGATTTGGAGGAAGAAACCATCCCCAGTTAACCTGTGGCTCCTTAGCTGCTAATACAGGATCTGGTAGCCAGTAGGTACTCAATACTTGGTGATTCCAGGAATAAAATGCATTTTAAATACACTAAAATGTTTTTTTTTTCTAAAAGCATGATAAAATATTCCAAAAATCTTTTAAAGATCACATTTTTTGGTAAAGCATGCTGTAAAAATGTACGCACGATGTGTGAATTCCATTTATTTGTAAGCATCAGAGTTTTGAAAAACTCATTTCTAGATCTTCATGAAGTCTTCAGTCAGACTTTGTTTGGCACACGCTTGGTGTCTGCATTCTGATGTGGCCATAAAATAGTCGTGCACAACCTCCACCAGCGCTGCCATCAGCTAATTGCCACTTCAATCAGCCACCTGTCCCCCCAGAAGCTGAGCCAGCACAAATGGATGCTGGCAAATAAAACATGAAATTTCCTGAAGAGCCACAACAAGCAGGAGACATGTCCCTAGACCCAAATCATGTGGGTCTCATCAAAGCATAGCGTAGAATCATGAAACAGTAATAACAATGCAATATTAGCTCTGAAATCTAAATACAGTCTATTGCCTGTCAAGTAGACACACAATTTAAAAGGTAACATTTACTATTGTTAAATAAATATCAAGCATTAACAAAGTAAAATTAGCAGATTGAAACTCAAATAACAATTTTAAAACAAAAATTCTTTGGAAACGTTAAGCTTACATTAAATGAATGAATAAATGCAAACACGCATGAGATATGAGGAAAAACAATGAATCCATCATGTGAGCATTTAATATATGCCCAGAATGTAGAATATAATGCCCTTAATTCCAAAGTAGTATTAGCATCTCTGTTAATGCTTTCTAAAAAACAAGCAAATCTGTTACCTTGTATGAATTATTCAGACGATATTATAATAAGTTTTATCCTCATGGCAGGAAGAAACACCTTAGACTTCACAACCACTTATAATCATGACTCAAAATCTCAATGCTATCCTAAAGGCACAATGGTTTGAATGGCCAATTATCCACGTGTAGAATTTCTCTTTATCCCTCTCACCAGCTCAAACTTCAGCATCCCAAAAGAGTACTTCACAGAATGGAATGCCCTAAAATGAGATATTCTGCCTATGTTTTAGGGGTCACTTAATGGCTTTGCAAAAAGTACTTTTGACTCTGAACTATTTTTGCCTTATGTGCTGATCTTAAATTTTACCTTTTTAAAATGGGAAACACCTGTGTTTTTAAAAAATCTCCAAATTTTCACTGGTGAAAGTCACAAGATTCTAAAGTCAATTATTTTGAATAGTTTAATTTTTAAATTTGTATTTATTTCATTTTTTTTATTAAAAATGGGCAAATGTAATGTGTTTCTGGTAGTAAAATGGATGATCAGTAATACTCTTTTAATTTAATTTTGACCAACACACATTACAACTTCTGAGTTTTTTCCTCTGGAATTGCAGAATTATGGCTCCCTTTATATAGTGTTTTTATACTGTTTAACCTTATACAGCAAACAGTATCTCTCATGAGTTGCATATTCTTTAGTTGCTTTATGTAGAAATGGGACTAAAAACACCTATGTCACTGGATATAGAGAGACAAATTTTAAAAAGATAAAACAGCTGACTGTTTAAAAAAGAATTCGATTTCTCACTCCCTTACTTTTTTAGTTGAAGGATGTATATTGGAAATCAGTGCAGATGAAGTCTTTCTAGAATAGCATCATATGAAAAAACAAGAAAAAATGAGCTTCCCTAATATTAATGAACATCAGTAGAGTGCGTATTATTTTAACCAGTCATTGTTCAGAATGGTTTACCTTAAATGCCTTTTTAGTCTTCAGAGCCTCCCTATGAGATAGATATTAACACTGTCCCATTTTACAGAAGAGACAAACGAGGGACAAAGAGAAAAGACGGGCCCGAAGCCACAGAACTGGATTCGAACCAAGGGGCCTGGAGGCAGGGCCATGGATGCAGCACCTCCTCATCTCGATACTGACTGGACGTCCAAGATAAGGAAAGTATCACTGTTTCAAAATGTTGAGGAAAATCATGAGAATCAGAATCAGTGTTTCCTTCTCGACAGTTCACCATTCCGTTGTGGTTCCTTTTGTACTAATCCAGGCAACATTGCTTTCCAGTTAGTATCATGCCATGGATTCTGAAAGATCAAAGCATTTCAGAAATTCTGAAGCCCCATAGCAATGTAATCTCCTAGGAGAGGGATGGCCAGGGACAGCCTGAAAATTCAAGCAACCCCGCTGGGAAAAAATGAGAAATGATTACACTGGGCACAGGGGAAATGCCTTTGGCCAAAGTATTTCGTGTATACACAAAGGACAGATTACACCGCCTATTGCTCCGTCCAAAGCAGCACTCGCTGAGACACTCAGCTTCTCCACTTAGATGAGATGAAGAGCTGCGTGAACTCAGCTGGAAGCGAGCCCATTGGTTCCAGATGGTGTAGACAGTTCAGTCCTGGCGCTCCTGAGGCAGTGGCAGCGCACAGGGTTTACTCCAGGAGAAGCAGTAGGTGTTTGCCAGGGCGACCTTTACTTCTTTGGTGTATGAACAAAAAGCACATCAATTTCAGGAACTATCTCTGCTAACAAAGCAGAGCACAGACATGGGGTGATTATCTGCGCAATCAAGCTGAAAAAGTCTGCCTTTGACTCAAAGACGGGTTATTTTGAGCCCCGTCTTTAATAATCTGTTCAATCGCTTTGCTAAATTATTTCACTTCTCTGTAGAGCAAGCAATAAGAAGTTATTTGCTTACTTGAGGGGTGTGTGTGTGTGTGTGTGTGTGTGTGTCTGTTTAATGGTAGATGCGTCCCTATACTGAGTCTGGGTGCACTGTGAACATCAGGATGAATTGTGCCCCGGCCCTCCGGGCTGTAAGTCCTTAGAGACAGAGCCACAGGCCAGAAGGACTGCCATGCTGCCCCCCATGTGGTGTTGCTGCCGTCACCTGTGTGACGACCTCTTGTGGTCACCAAGCACATGGTTACAACCACTGTGTGTGGGTTTGGTTTTTTTAGCTGTTTGTTTGCATTTTTAGTTTTTCAGCTTTACTGGGGTAGAAGTGACAAAATTGTAATATATTTATAGTGTACATCATAGTGATTTGATATATGTATACATGAAGGGATTCCCACCATCCGGTTAATTAACACATCCATCACTTCATATATTTATCCCTTATTTTGTTGAGAACATTTAAGTTCTACTATCAGCAAATTTTAATTTTACTATACAGTGTTATCTACAATGGTCCCCTGTTATACAGTAGATCTGTTTTGTAGCATTGTTTTTTAATTGAAGTATAGTTGATGTACAGTAATATTATATAAGTTGCTGGTACACAATATAGTGATTCACAATTTTTAAATGTTATACTACATTTATAGTTATTATAAAATATTGGCTATATTCCCCATGTTATACTATATATCCTTGTAGCTTATTTTATATCTAATAGTTTGTACCTCTTAATTCCTCCACCCCTATATTGCCCTTCCCCGCTCCCCACTGGTAACCACTAGTTTGTTCTTTATATCTATGAGTCTATGAGTCTGCTTCTTTTTTGTTATATTCACTTGTTTGTTGTATTTTTTTAGATTTCACATATAAGTGATATCATACAGTATTTGTCTTTCTCTGTCTGACATATTTCACTTAGCATAATGCCCTCCAAGTCCATCCATGTTGTTGCAAATTGCAAAATTTCATTCTTTTTTATGGCTGAGTAATATTCCATTCTGTGTGTGTGTGTGTGTGTGTGTGTGTGTGTGTAGCTTCTTTACCCATTCACCTGTTGATAGACACTTAGGTTGCTTCCATATCTTGGCTAATGTGAATAATGTTGCTGTGAACATTGGGGTGCATGTATCTCTTCAAATTGGTATTTTGGGGTTTTGGTTTTTGTTTTTTAAAAATATATCTCTTAGGAAATGGAAGGAATACTTCATGCACTGATGGAGGTGTATTTCTTGCTATGGGGGGAGTTTAAACAGTGACTATAAGAGCTTCAGTGAAGAGAAGTAAACATCCGCTTGGAGGGATGGAAAACTGACTTCCCTAGTCTGTTCTGATTCCTAGATCTCTGTTTCTGTACTTTCTGTTGGCAATATGCATATTAGTGCTACAATTTTTAGACTCCAGAGCAATAGTTTGGAGATTGATCATATTACGGCAGGTAGGATAAAAGGCCATGTAGCCATACCTGGACTGGAAAATTTGTTTGAAATTAATCACAGAACTTTTAAGGTAAGCAGACTTTTTAGGAAAATAAATAACGTGATATTACTGATTGTAAATGGATGTTGTCTGTGCATATATGCAAAATAGTTCTTGCTAATGGCTTCGGGGTCATCTCAGTCAATTCCTAAGGTTTGGCAGATCATAATTCAATTTCTATTTAGTGTTCATTTTGACATATTTACTGGCTGTGTGAATTTAGACAAGTTATTTAATATCCATGATCTCAGTCTCCTTGAGAATGGACTGGGGAGACTGGCACCTGCTGCCTAAGGATCTTGAAGGTTCCAAGTTTTATCTATGTCCACATTCCCTAGCACAGTACCTCTGGAATACATGTAGTCAATAAAGCTCTATCCCTGTGAGTATGATGGTCTTCAAATCCATTATTATCTGCTCCTAGCTGATCACTGTAAAAATGAGGGAGTGTCTCAAGATATTCTGCCTTGGATTATAGCTCAATGTATTTTAGTAGAATAGTACTTCTCAATTCAAAATAATTTACTTTGCCTGATTTGTTTCATTTTATTTTCCAATACTTAAACTCTTTTGTTTTTCAAATTTTATATTTGCATGTATTTCTTTGTCCTCTCCATTAGTGAACAGAACACAATTTATTTTGAGAGAATGCTATTTATGGATAAAACATTGAGACTAATACATTTTTCCCCTTTTTAAATGAAAAATTATTCATATCTTTTTGATTGTGTACAACTCCTTATGCAACATTTCTGCTTATTGTTGAAGATAAAAGTTTCAGCTACAATTATTCTTTATAATTTCCTTTCTCCTTGGCCAAATACCAAATTTGTTAGATTATGATCACTTTTTCTATATATAATACTAATTTTCAGCTATTAAGATCCTAGTTATGATGAGGTAAATTGCTATTCAATACTCATCTTTTTTTATTCAGTTTCTCCTGTGAAGTATGATATTCACTATTTTCATTATGCAGGTAGAAATTTACTTTTAAGGATATAATCATTTATTTCCTTTGATCCACTTCTTAATAGGCATTGGTAGCCTCAGGGTATTTTTTTCTCATTCTATTTCTCTCAAAACATATTGTGTCTATTAAATCTGCTTCTCAGTATCTCTCAGATTCTCAGTTCTACAAATTCCCTCTTACTGAGCAAAAGATCAAAACTTTCTTTCCTGTGTGATGACTTAAATTCAGCAATGGGGACTTCTCTGGTGGTCCAGTGGTTAAGACCTCACCTTACAATGCAGGGGGTGCGGGTTCAATCCCTGGTTGGGGAGCTAAAATTCCACATGCCTCAGGGCCAAAAACCCGAAACATAAAACAGAAGCAATATTGTACCAAATTCAATAAAGACTTTAAAAAATGGTCCACATAAAAAAAAAAAACTTAAATAAATTCAGCAATGAATTTTATATCATAATTTTCTTTGCTTATTATATATTCACGGTGCTATAAAATAAAGAAATAGGAAAGAGAATTTCTTGCAAAACCGTTAAGTTAAAATACAAAGTAATAATCAGTCCTTACCAACAAATCAGTGATGAAAGGGGAGCACCTCTTCCTTTTCATAACTGTGGAGACTGGAGAATTGGACTCCCAGTTAATTGTATGTCTCCTGTCAAGTCCTTCCCTTTAAACTGATGCTTTACAGGGGACTACTGAACTCTTCCCTGGACATCACAAATCTAAATTAACCTGAAGTATAACAGAGGTTTTAGGAGTTATATCACAAGTCTGGAGGAGAATTTGAAAATATCTCTATTTCAGGAAGCCTTATCTTAATTATTTTCTTATCAGTGTAAGCATAACATTTTCAAACAATGAATGAGAAGCCTAAAACTTAAATACATATCAGCTGGCTGCTCCTGTCCATCTAGTTCCCTCCACAAAATTCTAGACACCCGTCCCATCCCCCACCCCCGGACAGAGAGGTTTCTCTAAGTAGCATTTTGCTTTCCCATAATGCCATTTACTAATTCTACCACCATAAACCTACCATAAAATGATCAAAATTGCTCTTTTATACAATGAAATACTGCATTACATGGACTGGCTAAACTCATGGGTTAGAAAATGGAAACAGTGCAACTCACCGTTTGGCTCATTGGTGAAATACAAAATACGTAAATATCCATAACTCCCAAAGCAAAACAAAACAAACAAAAAAGAAAATAATTGCAAATGCAGGTTTATTAACTTCTTCAGGGAAGGTCATGGTAATGCTACTACAATGGATGGAAGTAATACAGGCAATTATCCCATCCTATCAGAAGAAAAAAAAGTTAAGCAAGTTGTCTAACTGAATTGACTGGTTAGATGACTAATTATTACTGTTGTATTTAGACAGACCCATAGGAATAGTTAGGAATTCCTAACATTCCATTTAGACTGAAGAGACTGAATAATGTTTCTTCCCTTTCCTGTGGCTAGTGCGTTGAAAGCCAAGTAAAATATTAAACTGAAAATTCTCTTTAATCCACATCCTTTATACTACATGATTCAAATGAAATGACCTCTTTGCAGATCTGGTCTCTCAATTTAAAATAAAGGCAATGAGGGCTTCCCTGGTGGCACAGTGGTTGAGAGTCCACCTGCCGATGCAAGGGACACAGGTTCGTGCCCCAGTCCGGGAAGATCCCACATGCCGCAGAGCGGCTGGGCCCGTGAGCCATGGCCGCTGAGCCTGCGCGTCTGGAGCCTGCGCTCCGCAATGGGAGAGGCCACAACAGTCAGAGGCCCACGTACCGCAAAAAAATAATTAATTAATTAATTAATTAATTTAATTAAATAAAGGCAATGAGATACCTATTCTGTTCCGTGTCTTTCAGTTGAATAGAAGGTAAGCCAGGGAAGGGGGACCCAATGGCAGATTCCAGAGAACTGGGACAAGTGAGTGCTCATCAACGATTGTCTGTTAATAAACCACCTGTGATCATTGTTTACAAGTTTAGTCTAATTCCACAAATGTAGAATAAAAAAAATTCAGAAACACACTTTAATTTTTAACTCATGTTAACAGAAGAAGCAAAAGCACATACTTACAAAATATCAGCAGTACCATAAGATGGATTTAATTTTAGTGCTTATGGCCCTTTTTTAGTATTAAGTTAGCATAATATGTTAAATTTGTTTATTTAAAAAAAACTAGTAAGAAGACAAGCCACAAACTGGGAGAAAATATTTGCAAAAGACACATCTGAAAAAGTACTGTTACCCAAAATATAAAAAGAACTCTTAAAACTCAACAGTAAGAAAAAAAAAAAGGATTAAAAGTGGGCAAAAGACCTGAGTAGTCACCTCAACAAGGAAGATATACAGATGGCAGATAAGCACTTGAAAAGATGCTCCACATCATATATCATCAAGGAACTGAAAATTAAAACAACCAAGAGATAACACTACATAACTATTAGAATGGCCAAAATCCAAAATACTGACAAACAGCAAATGCTGGCAAAGATGTGGAGCAAAAAGAACTCAAATTCACTGCCGGTGGGAATGCAATATTGTGCGGCTACTCTCAAGACTGGTGGGGTGGCTGGATCATATAGTAATTCTATTTATAATTTCTGAAAACTACCCTATTGTTTTCCATAATGGTTGCACCATATTTACATTCCTGCCAATAATACAAGGGTTCCAATTTCTCCACATTCTCACTAACACTTGTTTTCTGTTTTGTTTTTTACAGTCTCCGGACGCGCAGGCTCAGAGACCATGGCTCACGGGCCCAGCCGCTCCGCGGCATGTGGGATCTTCCCGGACGGGGGCACGAACCCATGTCCCCTGCATCGGCAGGCAGACTCTCAACCACTGCGCCACCAGGGAAGCCCAAGTTACTCAGTAATTTAAAGCAAATCCCGAACATCAGATCTTTCATAGCCATCCTTGTCTTCTAAAGAGATTTTTCTCTTTTCAACATGCAGAAATCCCATGTTATTTCCAGGTATTCAAAATATAATTCATCCATACCATTAATACTTTGTAAAACTACCCAATTGGATGTGGAAACATTTGTAATAGCTATAATATTTTTAATAAATGTCTATGTCTTTTAAAAATGGTACACACAATACATTTTGCTGAGTATAGAAGCTGGAACCAATGAAATTATGAACAAATTTTTCTTCCCATGGCAGTTTAAGCAGTTCTGAGTCTCATGACAATTTTGAAGAGGATGAGAATAGGAATGTTTGGTGATAATTGAAACAGATCATGTCTCATTGTTTTCGGTTTCATGTCAGTTTCGAAAATGAGGGGATGCCAAGGTCTGAGGTTCTCTGGTCATAGGGAAATCCAGTGTGCACTCCTGTCCTGAAGGATTTTAGGGCTGACATGATTTCCTTGAGAATTTTCAATTCCAGATTACCATTTTACAAATGCATATTTCTATTATATGTCCATGTGTGAGTTTTCTTCCTATTTGGTAGAAAATTGAGGTAACATTTAAATATTTTAATCTAAAATTACTGTATATATTTTTTCATTTTGGAAGCAGGAAGAGGAAAGAAGGAAAGCAGTAAGGGAGAAGGTAACTTTCTTTCACAATTCCAGTAGAGCCTTGTAATTCAAGATTTGTGAAAACTGTAATCTTAAAAAGTTTCAAGATCATGAAAGACAAAGAAAGTCTGAGAAATATTTCACACAGAAAGAGACTAAAGAGATAGAGCAATTTAATGCAGCATGTCATCTGAATTGGATCTTCTACTTTCCCAGGGGATATTGGAACAGTTGGCAAAACTTGGATGGGTCTCTAGATTAGATGGTGATAATATGTAATGTTAATTTCCTGATTTTGATGTATTTTGGTTATGTAGGAGAATGTCTTTGTTTGTAAGAAATACCCACTAAAGTGTTTAAGCGGGATGGGGCATTATGTTGGCAATTTATTTCCAAATGATTCAGGGGAAAAAAAAAGAGACTCTTTGCTCTAGCCTTGCAAATAACTTTACATTTAAAATTATTTCCAAGCCACAAATTAGACAAAAAAAGATAAACTAAAGTTATTTTATTAGACAAACAAAAGAACAATTTGCAAAAACAGTGGAAACTTTTATTTATCAAAACTTTTAATTAAAAAAGGGAAGGTGATTTATTTCATTCCAAGGCAACTAACCTGAAGTGGTATTATTACATACATTTATTTTGACTTTGTATTTTATAAAGTCTGCAGATGTCTAGGTCAGAATTGTCTGATAAAGGAAAGACATTTATTAGGTATTTATTCCATGTTGAAAGATGATAAAAAGGTTGACTATTCTGTTAGAAGTTACTTAACAGAAATCTTGATATAATATCTGTGTAATTCTTGTTCCTTAAGAACATCTTGTATTAAAGCTTTATCACGCAAAGCTCAAATGAACCTTGGAAGAGAGATACCAAAAAGAATATTGGGCTTCCCTGGTGGCGCAGTGGTTGAGAGTCTGCCTGCCAATGCAGGGGACACGGGTTCGTGCCCCGGTCTGGGAAGATCCCACATGCCGCGGAGCGGCTGGGCCCGTGAGCCATGGCCACTGAGCCTGCGCGTCCGGAGCCTGTGCTCCGCAACGGGAGAGGCCACAGCAGTGAGAGGCCCGCGTACCGCAAAAAAAAAAAAAAAAAAAAAAAAATATATATATATATATATATATATATATATATATATACACATTTAGAAGTGTTGTGAGCATCAGAGGAATGCTATAGTCTGTCGTAGATAATAGGAAAAAAAGTGTGGTGCTTAAAATAGGTGATTCAGATTATAGTAAATTAGCAATTTTCCATAGCTTGGGGTGAGCATGATAAAACCTTTCATGACAAATGCACGCTTTCATTCTTACTTACCACCAAATACTAATTCACAGTCACTATTAGACAGCAAAAATTATTTGATGAAGACATTGCTTAGCCCATCAGAAATGTGTTACTCAATTTTCTAAAGCTATTAGTGCTTTGAGAGAATAAATCCCTTGAGCCTTTTCCAGTTTCTCCCGTGTTGGTGTATTTACGTCACGTTTTGAATTACTTTGAAGCTATTCAGATGTTTTAGTCGCTTATAAATTTGCTTTCCTGAACATTTGTTTCTGTGCTGTTCATTGTGACGGATGTGAGTTTTTTGAGGATAATTTAAAACGTGGGATTACTTATTGATTATTCTCATGGTCATTTGCACTCATGATTCCACGATAATTCTTTGTGCACAGAACCCTTTTGTATTTTACTTACAAGTTTTTTTAAAAATACATGTTTATTTATTTTCAGAATGAAACACTTGGAGAAGAAAAAAGCAAACCCGAAGAGCAGATGCTTTGAGTGATTTCAGAGACCCATCTGGAATGAAGGGTCTTAGCAAAGACAACCTCTATATGTCTGCTTCACACTTCTCTCTGCAGTTGGCTTTGCCTGTCTCACTTAAGGCTGTCAAAAGCTTCCAGCATGGTAAGGATACAACCTTGAGAAAGAAATTGCATCGGTCTCTTAGCCCAGTTCTAAAGTCCTTGGGAATGAGCTGTGATTAGCCTAGTCTAAGTCAGTTCATTGCAGCCAAAATGCAAGACCATTACACATGCTGGGAGTCACCCATGTGACCATGTGAGTTTTCAGAAGGGTCAGTTCTCAGTAAAAGGATTGGGGGAGAGGAGTGGGCAAGTAATCCAGCAATTGCTTGTTATAATTATGATGGAAAACAACATTAATAATTATGGAAACACATCTGATTAACTAAAACACCAATTTAATAGCATACCCAAAGCTCTATTTGTATTAAAAGTAGATTCCTATCAGGACAGAACATCTCCAATTCCACATTTCTTCAAAGTCAAAGTTAATTTCAATGCTTATTTGAGTATATATATGGTATCACCTCAAAAATCTGCAAGAGACCAAATGTTGGATTTGATGACCCGGAAATTCATACCACAAAGCACAGTCAATTTTGTCTTTCCATTCCTCTCCATCCTAACAGAGAGCAACATCTGGATTGAATTTTTGTGTGTATATATATATATTTATATACAGTTTTATATATATATATGTATAGAGGCTTGGAATATAATAAATGTCAGAACTGGTCTGGATTTGACAAGCAGAGCTAGAGATCTGAGTTTCCTAAAATTACAGCATGTACCTTCCTAACAGTCTTTGTAATTCATTCCAGAGTTCAGCTGCCCCCTCATGAAGTAAGCCTGGCATGATTTCTAAAAAGACCCTTGTACAAGGATGACCTCAATTGTGAGTGAGGATTTTGAAGTACATACCACGTTTTCAACAGGAAAATACA